CCCGAGAGGATTCCTCAATGCCCATAGTAATTTGGGTACAGAGTCAAGGGCTACAGTCTACTCCTTTACACAGACAAAATTCCTCGGATAAAGGAGGGGAATTTATTACTGGAGACCCAAGCAAGAAAACCAAATCCATGATGCAGGGAAACTGTACTGAGGGGCTTGTTCTGATGAAAGAGAGAGTGCTATTTCTTTTATAAAGGCATGGGAGGGGCTGGAGAGATGGCTCAGAAGTTAAGAGCTTGTACAATTCCTGCAGAGGACCAGAGTTTGGTTCCAGCACCCCTATCAGGTGCTCTCAACCACTTGTAACTCCAGCTTTAAAGGAGTTGATGCCCTTTTCTGACCTTTGTGGGCACCTGCACTAATGCACATATTGCTCCCTAAATGTAAATAAAAATAAAATAAAACTCTTTAGGGCATGGCTAGGAGGAATTTTGGAGCTCTGAGTAGCTAGAGACACTCCCCTTTCCTGCACCACTACACACAGCACTTGCTTAAATGATTTCATGAAAAACCAACAGATGAAACAGGAGAGGACGGGAACCAGTTCTGTATATCCTTTAGCTTCCTCATACCCAGTATAGGGACCAGTACCACCAGCATGGCAGGGAAGGGCAGGCCAGCATCATTTGGGAGCTGGGTAAAGATGCAGACTCTCAGGCTCGCTCGGCCTGATGGATCCCAGCCTGACTTATAAAAGATCTAGGGCAATGTCTATGCTAACTGACATCTGGAAAGTGCTTTAAATTCATCATGCCTCAATTTCCTTTATAAATCAGGATGGTAAAAACTGCTTTAAAAGGCTGCTGTGATCCTAAGTGAGATCAGATGAGGGTGCTCAGTAAAACAATGTACACAGAGTGGTTGGTGGAGGGTTTGTTTCGCAAGTTTCTGAGCAGTTGGGTGCAATGGACCACAACTCAGTGGGCCTCTGCTTTGAACTAGTTGCATTAGGACAGTGGGTGCTGACTCCCAAAAGCTGTCAGGGTCTTAGAAAATTTGCAAGTTAATTGTTAAACACAGACATTGTTAAAATTAAATTATGTGCACTAACAGTTAGGTTACATTAAAAACAGGTGTAACACATGTGCAAAATGTATCACTTCCTAATTCTGTTATTACATGGGACCATCTGTGTTTCCGGTGTTATTTGTGCCATTAACCGCTAAGCTATCTCTGCAGAAAGACTATTTATGTGGTAGAAATACTATTTGTAGCTGCCCCCGTGTCCAGCTTCTTCACTCTGATGGATGTGCCCTCTCCAGGGAGCCTGTGGACAACCATCTATGGCATGCCACTAAATATAGCACTCATTATTCCTTACTAGAGTAAAAAGTTTGAAAATGATGAATTGGTTCTTAAAATTTTTTATTTATTATTTTAATTTTATGTGTACGAGGGTACTGTTTGCATGTATTTAAGTGCATCTGTGTCATGCAATTCCTGTGGAGGTCAGAAGAGGGTGTTGGATCCTCTGGAACTAGAGTTAAGGATGGTTGTTAGACGCCATGTGTGTGCTGAGAACTGAACCCAGGTCCTCTGCAAAAGCCATCTCTTCAGTCCCAACAATTTTATTTATTTATTTTTTTAAAGTATGTCCGCTGATACTAAAACCTTTCCTTACGGGCTGGAGAGATGGTTTAGTGGTAAAGAACATTGGCTCCTCTTGCAGAGGACCTGGGGTTTGGTTCCCAGTACCCACATGGTGTCTAAGTATTATTTGTACCTCCAGTTCCAGGGGATCTGATACCGTCTTCTGGCCTCCTCAGGCATCACATGACACAGATGCATTTATATACATGCAGGCAAAACACTCATATACATAAAATAAAAATGAATAAATAAATAAACCTTCCTTAGGGAGTTAAGGGTGAAGTAATAAATTAGACACCCTATAAAACAGTTTGAAATTCTGTGACACAAGGTGACCCTAGAGAAGTTGACTCCTCCAAGACTTAATTTACCTTCCTTCCTTCCTCCTCCCTCCCTCCCTCCCTCCCTTCCTCCCTCTCTCCCTTCCTCCCTCCCTCCCTCCCTTCTTCCTCCTCTCCCTCCTTCCCTTCTTCCCTCTCTCTCTTCCTTCTTCCTCTTCCTCACCCCTTTTCCCTTCCTGTCTATTTTCTCTCTCTCTCTCTCTCTCTCTCTCTCTCTCTCTCTCTCTCTCTCTCTCTCTCCAATGTCTTGTCTTTTCAGTATTATTTGTATTTTTAAAAAATACCTTTCTGGCTTTCTTCTTAAAATCATCTATTAAGATATTTTAAAAACTCTTTGTGGAAGAGAATATATTTTATTTTAATGTTGGTTTCAATTTGTGGCTAGAATGGGTTCCCATGAGATTCTTGTCTTATATCTAAAACTTGTAGGCATTAAGTGTGCAGCAGATAAATAGCTTTTCCCAACCAGGCCTTTCCTTCTTGCGTGTAGGACAGAAGAAAGAGCAACAACATACAAAACCCCAGGTCCCTTCGGAAGAACTGGAAACATCTACAGCCTTTGGGGAGCAGTGACAAGCGACAGCTTTCTAGAGACTTCTAGCATAAGAACAGAAGGATGAGCTCATGATAGGAGGAGGGTAACTGACAAGTTTGCTACTCAGGAATGCTGTGAGGAGAGATTGGAACCCGCCTCTACCTGAGTGGTATGAGAATTAACTGGTCCTGCAGCCCACTGGGTAAGGCTGTCACCTCTGGGCTCAGTGCTTCCAGGAGAACTGGGTGTTAGTGTCCACCTGTACATAACGGGGAGAATGAGCCAGCAGCTGCCCGGCCAGCAGCCAGGGAGTGAGGTTGGGATCCTGGACCTTCTCACTAATGTCTGTCTTGACTTTTTGACTGCCCCCAGAAAGCTACTTTCAGACTTCCTGCATCACCTCACAGCCTCCCACAGTCAGGCTGGGAGAGCCTAGAGAGGAAGGCTGAGCAGATGCTACAAATGTTCTGTGACATAGCTCAGGGCCTCTCCTCCATCCTTCCTTCCTCCACTTCCCAGTGGGCCTCAGGACCTTGTAAAGTCATTAGGTTCTAATGAACCTTTAATTTGTTTGCAATTTTTAATTCAGACGGATACATAATTAGAGAAAGCAGTCTTACATTTAGTATTATAGTCATAGGTCTGGGTCACACATGGGTATAGTTTGGGGAGGCCTAGGAAGGCAGTGTGCACAGAGCACATTTGCCATTTATTTCAGAGTCAAATATATATAATTATAGAAATATGTAAATGAAGGTCGGGTGTGGTGGCTCACATCTTTAATCCCAGCACCCTGGAGGTAGAGGCAGGCAGGTCTCTATGAGTTCAAGGCCAGCCTGGTCTACACAGTGAGTTCTAGGCCAGCTGGGGCTACAGGGAAATCCTGTCTCAAAAAGACCAAAAAAAAATGTAAATGATAGAAACATATAATTTATATATTATATATAAAATTTTAAAAATATATTTCTATTATATATGCAAATGGTGTTGTGTATTATATATGTTACTATACATAGTTATATATCACTATGTTACTAGATGATTGACAATTGGAGAAAATGATACTGTCCAAGTTGTCCAAGAGTTCAGTGCCTGGTTCATGAGAATGCCCTGCACAGGGAGTGTCCTAATTAGTTATATCGCTGTGATGAAACACTGACCAAAACCGACTTGAGGAGAAAAGGGTTCGTTCCATCTTACAACTCCTGGGTCATAATCCACCACTGAAGGAGTTAGGCAGAAACTCAGGACCAGAACCTGGAGGCAGGAGCCCATGGAGGATCGCTACTTACTGGCTTGCTCCCCTGGCCCATGCTCAGCCTGCTTTCTTTTTATTTATTTTTATTTATTTATTTTTGTCTTTTTGAGATAGGGTCTCCCTGTAGCCCCAGCTGTCCTGGAACTCACTATGTAGACCAGGCTGGTCTTGAACTCACAGAGATCCACCTGCCTCTGCCTCCTGGGTGCTGGGATTAAAGGCGTGCACCACCACGCCTGGCAGCCTGCTTTCTTATACAACACAGATTCACCTGCCCAGGGGCGGCACCACCCACAGCAGACTGGGCCTGCCCACATCACTCAACAGTTAAGAAAATGCCCCATAGACCACAGGCCAATCAGATGGAGGAAATTCTTCTACTGAGGTTCCCACTTCTCAGTGGTGTCTAGTTGACAGCTGGAGCTATCCGGCATGGTGGGCGTTATGAATAGTGTGTCTTGGACCCCTACAGCCTAGGTATCTGCAGTACCCATTAAGTCTCTACTCTTCCTCTTGAGGATCCAGCATACTAGCTAACAGTCATCAACAGAGAAAAGATGACTGACAGGGTTTCAAGATGGTGGATGAACGAGCACCAGAGTGATAGCTGGTCAGGTCAGAGGCTGACTATTGAGGAACAGAGGCACAGCTCCTCTGAGAGAGTCTGCCATGAGAAAGACTTCCTCTCCTCTCAGGGACACTAGCATTGGGGTAGCATGTGTACCTCTCCTGGTCTAAGCAGACCCCACTCCCCTTTGGATTCTTAGGTCTCAGGCTCCATACCCATAGCTCCACCTGGCTCTAGGGGTCAATAGGAAATGAGGCCTGGTGCTGAGGTGTCTGGTGTATGAGAATCAGGAGGGGCCAGATGTATAGACTTCATAGACCTGAAAGCTCATGACCATGTGGGGGGGGGAGGTGAGGCCAAAGAATCCACTCAGAGTTGCAAAAGGGATGAAATAATCTGTTGCTCTCCCCACTAGCCTGAAACAGTTAGATGACCCCACAAGAAAAAAGTTCTGCCTAGTGTTGAAATCTCCCATGACTTCCAGAGAATCTGGGAATAAATCCGACAGTCATTCTTATCAAAGTACTGGAAGGAATCCAAGATTATAAAAATAACCAACCTAAGGCAAGGTTGTAGAAGAACCAAATATTAGTGAGTGGTCTGTGTGTTTAGGGAAAAGAAGGATTCAAGCAGGGCTTGAACCCAAGCGCTTTCTGAACCTGTGAGTGATTTAAATCCCCCTGCGGATACTTTTCCTACCTGTCTGCTAGGTAGCCAATCCCCACAGCACCGGCGAAAAACCCAACATTCACTGCCGACTGAAACAGGTCCAGCATCCAGGAGTGAGCACACACTAGGTTAAACTATCCAGTTGTGAGGTGTGTTCCAAGCCGGCAAAGAGAGAAGACGAGACACTATTAGGATTCTTTTAGACGCAACTCAGCCCAGGGAGCTCTTTGGATATTCCCAACTGGGAACCCCAGGGATGCAATTGGTTAGTGTGTTGTACTTACGTGAATTCTGCTGTTGGGGTGGATGAGTGCCAATAACCCAGCTTGCTTTTTTTTCTTTCTCTTTCTTTCTTTTCTTTCTTTTTCTTTCTTTCTTTCTTTCTTTCTTTCTTTCTTTCTTTCTTTCTTTCTTTCTTTCTTTCTTTCTCTCTTTCTTTCCTTTCTCTCCCTCTCCTTCTTTCCTTCCTTCTTTTTTCCTTCTTTCTCTCTCTTAAACTTTAAAAAAATTTATTTATTTATTTTTTTATGTGTATGTGTGTATTGCCTGCATGTAGGTAAGTGCACCCATGTCATGCAATGCCTGCAGAGGACAGAAGAGGCCATTGGATCTGCTGGAACTGGAGTTATGGACAGTTGTTAGCTGCCATGTAGGTGCTGGGATTTGAACCCGGGTCTTCTGCAAGAACAACCAGTGTTCTTAACTGCTGAGCCATCTCTCTAGCCCCTCTCTCTTTTTCTTAAAAGATATATTTATTTATTTAATGTGTATGCCTAAGTGTATGTATGTGCAACAGGTGTGTATAAGAGCCCATGGACGTTAGAAGAGGGTTTCTGATCCTCTGGTACAGATGTGGGTACTGGGAACCAATCTCAGGTCCTCTGCAAGAGCAGTAAGTACTCTTAACCACTGAGCCATCTCTCCAGCCCCTGTGTTAATTTTCTTTACATCACCAAAAGATTTGCCCTGAAATTTATTTAGCATTCCGTCTGTCAATATTTCATTCGGCTAAAACATTGCTCTATCGTCTGAAAGCAAGCAGTCACTCCACCTACAGACAAACCCGTCTCTTCCCTTCTTGTATTAATATACAGAGGCAAGTAGATGTGAGGACACGATAAGCATGTACAGCCAGGGGGAAAGTGGGCTTCAAGAACCTCTTAGTTGTCCTTTTTATTATAAAATACACCTTTTTTATTATTTTTATTTTATGTGTATGAGTGTATTGCCTGCATGTATGTGAGTGCTCCCGTGTCATGCAATGCCGTGGAGGTCAGAAGAGAGTTTCAGATTCCCCTAGAACTGGAGTTAAGGACAGTTCATAGCCGCCATGTGGGTGCTGGGAATCGAACCTGGGTCCTCTGCAAGAGCAGTCAGTGTTCTTAACCTCTGAGCCATCTCTCCAGCCCCTTAGTTGTCCTTTTTAACAGCTGGGGGATTTAGGGTGTCCTGCTGATGGCTGTTACTTATGCTCTTGTTTGGGAGGTGGGTGGTGGATGAACAGATGCGGGCCCAGAAGTCTCATGTTAACTTTGCAGTCTCTTACTGTGCGGCTTGGTGCAAAGCTCTACTCTGTTTTGGCTCCTCAGCTCTCTACAAAGGGATGATGTGAGCCACTCTTCAGAGCCTCTTAGAGTGGTATGATGTCAGTTCCAGAATTCCAGGAACCTCAACGTGGTATGGAACTCAGTTCAGCGCCTCTAGACAAGGCTCCTCCACTAAACATCAGGATAGACTAGTAGGACTCAAGGAGTCCTTCTCAGCCCAAGCAGCTCCGCTGGCTTCCTCTATGTTTGCAGGACAGTTCAGCAGAAGGCTTCCATGTTTACTTTTCTCTTGTTTTATTGAGCCTTCACGATAGATTGTACTGTGAGTATACTTGTGTGTGTATGTGTATGTTTGCATGAGTGTGCATATGTGCATGGAGGCTAGACAGCGACCTCTGCTAGTGCTCCCAGGAGCTATTCACCTTACTTTTTTTGAGACAGGGTCTCTCACTGGCTGGAAACTCACCAACTAGGTTAGGCTGGCTGGTTAGTGAGTCCCAGGGATCCAACTGCCTCTGTCTCCCTAATTATAATTATATGATTATAATTGGAACTATAATCACTCTGGGCTTTTTTATACGGGTTATGAAGTTTGAACTCAGTTCCTCATGCTTGTAAGGCAAGTGCTTTAATAACCGAGCCATCTCTCCAGCTCATAACTGTATCTTTTCTTTAAAAAAAAAAAAAAAGCCTTTATTGGTTGTTAGCCTTGGCCTTTAACAGCTGCGCTATCCCTGGTGGCACATGCCTTTAGTCCCAGCACTTAGGAGGCAGAGGCAGGCTGATCTGTGTGAATTCAAGGCCAGCCTGGTCTGCACAGTGAGTTCCAGGCCAGCTGGGGCTACAGGGAGACCCTGTCTCAAAAAGACCAAACCAAACCAAACCAAACAAAAAACCCTTTATTGCTTTATTGTGTGTGTGTGCATGCCATTGTACATAGGTCGACGTCAGAGGACAGCTTTGTGGATTTGGTTCTCTCCAGCTATTACATGGGTTGTAGAGATTAAACTCAGGTTGTCAGACTTGCATGGCAAGTGCTTTTACCCACTGAGCCATCTCTCCAGCCCCCATGACTATACTTTTTAATAAAAGCAGTTGAGCCATATTATGTCTGCAGCCCCAAACAGCTCCCTGTGGGCACTTTGGCCACAGTAAAGGGAAACCAGGGGCTGTGGAAGAGAAGCACATCTCATCACACCTGTCAGCAAGGCACATTTTGGGGGAGGGCCACATGCTTTCTGGTATTATGTGGACGGTGTCAGAATAGAAGGGATGATGGGCTTCCCGCAGAGGCAGCTCTGTGCATCCCCACACCTGGCAGCATTTCCCAGTGTGTGCTTGCTTCTTACTCTTGAGATTTGCACACATGAAAAACATCACCGTCAGAGTCGGAGGAGGTTCTCACTAACCAGCCTGAACAAATGAGAAGCAGCACATTTCCATCTAGGATTTCATAAGACCTAGCGGTCCCCAAAGCATGTCTGGGTAGGTGCAAGATCCAGGCATTTCCTAGTTCCTCCTTCATAAAGCTCAAGTATTTGCTTTTTTTGCACTCTGATCGCTAAGCTCACTTACCTCTGTGACGATGGAGGAGCCGGGCATGTCATACACCCAGCCGTGTTGGCAGGGGCTCAGAGGCAGGTGGCTCCGGTTGGCACCCAGGCTGGACAGAGGGTCCACGCAGTCAAGGCTGGTCTGGTTCCAGTCCACGTCATACTGCATGCACTGGTGGAGGAAGGTCTCGTCCGCAGCCCCCAGGCCTGGCACTGTGTAGTTCAGCTCCTCTGCCAGGCTCCAGCCACATCGCTGGCTCAACTGGGCCACCCCGGGACTCTGGCAGCGGTGGTCAGGGGTGAAGCCCAGGAAGACGATACCCACGTAGATGGGTGTGAAGGCAGCTGAGAGCAGAGCTAAGAGGAAGAATGTTTGTTTCTGGAAAAGGTGGAATTCCCCTATATGTTCTAGAATATCGTCCACAGTCGGCATGGCTCCTGGAAGCAGCTGGTCCAGAGGCTTCACCTGCACAGCTCTAAATGCTGTTGGGGGCGGCCACAGTCAGCTCAGCGCGACTCTTGACCGGGAGTCAAAGGGTGAGCGTTAGTTTACTCTAGAGAGGGACCAGCCTCCGGGTCAGACTTTCCTTGGGCAGGCCAACTTCTGATCGCATCTCTTCAGTGGGGGAAGGTCCTGCTGCTGCCCGGAAGTGCCCAGAGCAGGCCCTGGGGTTGATGTGTTTCCTGTAACATCATTCTTGATGTGTTTGTCTCTGCTTCATACCAGTACCACAAACAATCCCTTCTCTGTATCGGGAAGAAATTTGAGTCCCTTCGTATATTACAGTTGGTTAATCTTTCTCTAGCACTCTAAGTGGCCAGGAAATTAATATATTCTTGTCACCCACACAGCAAACCTCCCCTGCAAGGTCTACCGGAAATGGCATATGCCCAGTGCAATGGGTGGCGGGTCTCAGGTCACCTCAACATGTCTTGCATACTCTCCCCTAGATCCCTCTATAAACAGTGTGCTAGGGCAGCATGCTGTGGTGGCTTGCTTTGATTTCCCCCAGATTGGATTATTTAGCCTTTCAAAAATGTTCATTCCAATCTTGCCTTTTAACCCTAAGTGTCTTTCTCCTGCATCAGTTCATTAGGAAAGAATAACATGTTTGCCTCACACATCCGTCAAGTGCAAAGGCAGGGCAAGAGTGTGCTTGCTCCATTGTGTTTTAAAAATTATTTAACCCAACAGCTATCAAAATACCTGAAAGCAAATCCTGAATCCATCATGCTAGAGTCCAGTCTTGGAAGACAAAGGAAAAATGAGGAGGAACCCAACAGAGGAATGCTTTCGGAAGCCCTTGTCAAGAAATTCCAATGGACTCTCATATGAACATGTGAAAACTGCCTTGTTCTGACTTTTTTCTAGTTCCCTGTCTAGAACTTGTAATGCTGATTACTCTTGCCTTTACTTCTCCTTCACATCTCCTAGTCACAATTCAAGGACTTTCTTTTCCCTCTAGAGACAAGAGTAATGCAATTTGGGAGTCTTTTAGGTAGACCCACTGAAGGGGTACCCCAATTGCCTCACCTTGTGTCCCTGTTCAGCATGGAAGAAGCCAGAGTGGTCGGTGTCCCTATTCCCTATTGGCAATTTGGGTAACCTCTTCAGAGGATGGTGTGATAAGAATAGGAGATAGGAATTGGCTAGGCAGTTAGGGTAAAAAGACCCCAAAGAAAAGTAGCCAGTTTCTTTTTTGGCTAAAAGTCAAAATGTCCTTGGGCCTCTTAGCAACCTACTCCTTTCCAAAGCCAAAAAATGTCAAAAGTATTTGGGAGCTTTTATCTACTCCTTAAAAGATTTTAGGGTTACCTCTTCAGAAGGGGGAATGTTAGAGTAGCCAAAAGCCCCATAAAAAAATTAAAGAAGAAAGAATACATGAAGTTATCAGGAAAACATGACGGGGAGATGGGGAGGAGTTGGAGGGGAGGGAGTGGGCATGGATTTGATCAAAACACCTTATATGCATGTATGAAATTCTCAATAAATTAGTTATTTGAAAATTAAAAAATTTAAATTTAAAATTATTTTTATTGAACTTTTGTGATTTTTTCATACAATATAATTTGATGGTATTTAGATCCCCTCCCCATCTGTACCTCCTCTTACTGCTCCACCCAATTTAATGTACTCTAATATAAATCTATCTATCTATCTATCTATCTATCTATCTATCTATCTATCTATCATCTATCTATCTATATCTATCATCTATCATCTATTTACCTCAGCCCATAAGCCTGATTTGTGTCCCCAAATGTCCTTTGTGTGGGTCCATCCCCTGAAGCCTGGTTAATCTATCAAGAGTTCCATTCCTGTAAGACTGTCTCTCCCCCTCCCAGCAGTCATCAGTTGCCAAAAGATTCTTAGGTTGGGTTGGGGTTTCTGACCCACTTCCCAATGTCTATGCTGGGATTCTGTCTGGATTGAGCTTGCATGGGATTTGTGCATGCTGTCACCACTGCCCTGAGTTCATATGAGTAAATGATCAGCTGTCTGGAAAATTCTGTTTCCTTGTGGTCATCCACCACCTCTGACTCTTATAATCTTTTTACCCCCTCTTCTGCAATGATCCTTGAGCCTTGGGAGGCAGAAAGACTTAAATTTTAAATTTACAGGTCTGTGTATGAGTTTCTACACATACACAGATGCCCAAAGTGACCAGAAGAGGCACTGGATCTCCTGGAGCTGGCGTTATAAGAGGTTGAGAGCTGCCCTGTGTGGGTGTTAGGAACTGAACTCGGTCCTGTGGGAGAGCAGTGTGTACTCTTAACCACCAAGCCATTTCTACAGCCCCTTCCACTGTCATTTTTTAAATTGCTGTTGCTGTTCTAGGTATTTCCATTTGTAGTTAGGGATGCCCATTTAGGATGCCGGTGAGGGTATCCAAATGCAAGGGAAATAGGCAGCCTGTCTTTCCTACAGGATGGGAGGACCCCCAAGGCACTGCCATGCTGCCAGATGCAGCAGAGAAGGTACTTGCTGATGCACCTGACACATCTGAGAAACAAAACACCAGAAATTCAATCCAGCTTTCTTGTATGTCTTTCCTCCCCTCCCCTCCCTCCCCTCCCTCCCCTTCCCTTCTCTTTTCTTTCTTATTCTGTCAAATACTCAGCCAGTAGAACAGCGTAGTCTAAAGACAGAGCTCCACAGCAGCCTTCCTCCTCCCTGTACTGCAGGTCAGTGAGGATACCCACGAACACCTCCAATGACCTCCTCTGGCTCCCAGATATGTTATGCCACCCAGTGCCAGGTCCCTGCAGCCCCTTGGTCATTTGCTAAGTGAGTGAGTTCAGAGCCATTCAGGGACTTCCTCAGTGGTGGCCAGACATCCTAAGTGAATGCGTCAGAAGCTGAGGCCATGTCTGATAGTCACCAGGCAGCCGTGGGAGTGTGTGAGTTAAAAAGCAACTATGGTTGTCAAACCTCCCTCCACATCCTGGGATCAGAGATGGTCCTGGCTGCCTCCTACTAGGAAATTCACAAGTACTCACACCTGGGTTTGACTCACCGGCACAGTCCATGTCAGGATGCCAGATCTTCATGCCTGTGAGCAGGAGGCCTCCAGGTGAGAGGCGAGGAGAGTATCCCATGCCAAGGAGGATGTTGAAATTTGTAATGAACTAGAGGAAACGATCAGATAAGGTGAAGGTGAGAACTCAGATCACTTACAGCATTAGCTCCTCAGTCATTTGACACTTTTGAATTGAGGCGTTAACACAGGAGTGAAGCTCGTGGCTAAGACTTAAAATCTGCTGCTTTTTGACAGACTAGAGGACAGCAGGGTCACACAACTCTGGTGGGCCACAGCTCCAGAGAAGTCACAGCCCAGAGCTAGCTCAGTGTTGACACTTTCTGTCTGGGCATCCCACTTTATTAGTGGGATACTTACATATTCAGAAGTGTGACCTCAGGGTAATCTGGGATGCTGATCAATCAATCCATATAAATGGAAAATTCATTATAATTAATGGAAGTATTTCTCAATCTTTTATCAGGTTTCTTGTGACATAAACATTGTCGGCAGGTTTCTGTCTTCTGTTCAGCACTGTAGAATGACGCCCAGTCAAGCCAGGATCAACTCCCCTTTACATATTCAGAAGTGTGACCTCAGGGTAATCTGGGATGCTGATCATTCAATCCATATAAATGGAAAATTCACTATAATTAATGGAAGTATTTCTCAATCTTTTATCAGGTTTCTTGTGACATAAACATTGTCGGCAGGTTTCTGTCTTCTGTTCAGCACTGTAGAATGACGCCCAGTCAAGCCAGGATCAACTCCCCCAGTCTCCCCAAAGAAGAAAGCAGGGTTAGATGAGGCAGGAGGTTAGAACAGATGGTTCCTTCTCAATGGCCAGTCAGGCCTCAGGAACTTAGAAAACTACAGGGTACAGCAGAGAGAGGAGGGTGTGGGGTCATTTGTCATGAAGGATGGTTTCAACAGATTGATGTCTGGTGTCTTGGGGTCAGTGCAGTCCCCTCAGCCACAATGAAGTTAACCCCAAACAAGACTGACAGAGCAGAAGGTTTCACAGAGCCAGGGCAGTGCGATCTCTGCACAGAAACAGGGCTGATAGCTGTAGGCCAGGCCAGGAAGGAGACAACAACAGTCCACCATGGCTCTCACATACCCGTGCCACCAGGCAAGCTCTTCACTTCTCTGGGAAACTGGTGATTGCACCTGAGTCAGAGCTGAGAGTGTGCCGCACAGGGCCACTCCACAGGTTGGTTTGCAAGTCAGTAGACATCCAGCTCAGCACTCCCTCCTTCCTGTTCTCCTTCTTGGCCCTGCCCCACCTTCCTCCTCTACCTCTGTCTCCTCTGTCTTCTCCACCTCCGCCCTGTCCAGGTGTATCGCTTCCAGGTGAGGCCTGCAGTTCAGCACAGCCACCTTGACCAGACTTGAGGATTCACTCCATTGTTGTGTATGCCTGAGTGCCTGAGATAGCTTCTGCATGGTGTGTCAGGATTCATCTTCCAGAACCTTCCATTCATTTGGACATTATTCTTCCTGTTGGATTCAGGGTAAGTTCAAAACTGTACTACACAGACTTCATAAAGTTGAAGACCTCTCCCTTAACCTCAGTCATTTTTCCAGGTACCCCTGTTCCTCCTTAATATGGGGAGGCCCTGAGGGAATGACAAGTGAACACGAGAGCTCTGCCTGCCTCCAGCTCTGTGGCACTGGGATTACCACTGCGTCCGACATTTCTACATGGGTTCTGAGGATCAAACTCAAGCTTGCATAACAAGCACTGTAGCAAGTCCTGCCCCTCAAATACTTTTTACAGTGGCTACAAAGTGGACTCCTGCCTTTATGTGTCAGGCAGCATCCTTGGACATCTTTTAATGACTCTCTTTATTAATTTCAAAAGACCTCTCTAAACATGTCCAGTTCTTTCTGACCTTTATTGTACGGTTGGCATCCATGAAGTGGAATTTGCTAGAATGCTCTTGTCTTGCAGAAGCCTGAAGAGATCTTCTGAGCAGAAGTCTCATTAATGTAACTAAAAATGCTTTGAAAAGCAGGAAGGAAACTATGAAAGGATGGGATGAAAC